AAAACTACGACTACATTATTATACTATATTGGTTGTATATTGGTAGAGCATGTGTTATTGACATGGTACGGTGGTGACATTACAGGCTAATAAGAACAAGCCTTCAAGTGTTTTGAGTTCCAGGAAGCTCGCGCAGAATTTTACTACTTAGGTATATTTTTTAAACATAAACGGACGACAGGCATAGATTAAAAAGGCAAACAGACGGTCGAGTAAACTTTTATAGAGTATTTTGACTACATGGAGTAGCAAGTCATTGTAACATTTAGTTATCACTTGTAATTGATTAATTACTTTAACCCAAGAAATTTTATCTGTCTCATTACCTACTAGTCGTCTTATAGTCAGTTTTTACTCTCGAAACAAATGAAACTCAACTTTCATATAATGAAATTAAAATTAGCGAAATTCAGCAATAAATTATATGAACAGATGCGGCATTAAACGGACACACATAATGACCGGGATTCAGTGAAGCGTATGTCTTAGTACACCGTTATCATAGTCTTGATGTAGACCAAACGGTATTGAGATGCACTCATTTATGTTTAATTTATAGATCTTATCCATTACACGTCTATATCCGTTTAAATCATGAGCATACAACTCTGTATCAAGTAGTCTTTACAATAAATATGAACCTAAACGTAATCCACGACTTGTTATCTAGTGTCATCCAGTAGTTTTAGACATTATTAATTACAATCCTTTAGCGCGAATGACGTGCTTTCGTTACAAAGTCTAGTGTCAGAATGAATAGCGAGGGGACATAAACGTCGACATTTTAGTAAAGCTAGTGTTGAGTCAATACACTGTCATATTTCCGGATTTACTTCCTAACAGTAGTAACATGTCGTGGTCTAATTTAACACGCATGTCAATTTGAATTTGTTTGCTACTGACATAATGCTTCAAAAGATTATAGAAGTGTTTATACCAAAGATATTAAAACATAATATTTAGAGTTACAGAGGATATTATCAGCATTTTACTAGCGACAGTTTCTGACTATCAAATTCTTTTATCAAAAGTTTTCCTGTCAGTTGGTATGGTTGTTGGAACTACAATTTGCTAGTAATTTGGCGCGTTATACGGTTAATATTTTTTTGTTTACGGGACTTTTTTTTAAAGAAACGAGTGACTTTCATATTTCGTGTAAAAGATAACTCGCGACCCACATTGCTAAAAGAGCTTTTTTCAGAGGTTGTAACTGTATAGAGTTTCTAGCAAAACCTAGATCTAGGAGTGCTAGCTAAAAATTTTCGTAAGTAATCCAGTACAGTTAGTAACAATTCCACAAAACAAGTGTCATTTATTTATGGATATAAGACGAATCCAATATTTATTTTTATACAAAGACAATGTTGTAAATAGTATAAATATGTCAAACAAAGTCACAGTAATGTTTTTGTATTAATTTGTAGATTTGTCAAGCCTCAAGGCATAGAACATCTTGACAAAATTTTCATCAAATCTGTACGCTTTAGTAATTACATTTATCATCTATTGAACCTGATAACCCTTTGAGAAAACATTGACATATGTGTTTAAACTAAAGTTAGGAGTAGAAATAATTACTAGTTTTTACAGGTAAAAGTTTGCTATCACCTGTTTAATATTTCGGTTACTCAATACCGGCCGGTGAATGACTAGATTCCTCTCGCGGCCTCACAACTTTCACTTTGACTTTTTGGATATGAAAGGAACAGTGAGTCAGTCACTTGAAGCAACCTGGGGCAATGTAATTATTGCTAGTGTTAATTATTTGAAAGTAAACGTGTTTTCAAACACATTTTTTTTCTTCAAGTCAGTTCAAATAAAAATAAAATTGCTCTTTTGTACGGATCGTACCAAATAAAGAATTATTTTATTGCATTTTTAAATTATTTAACAAGTCCGCAAAACTAGTAATTATCATATCACAATTATTGATATAAATAAGTATACTAAATATTATTTGCTTTTTTTTCTATTAGAATAAATTAATTGAATTACATATTAATAAGTTCCAAATACATTTCTGTGTCAGGCTTATTTGTCATGATTTTATTGACTTTTTTATTAAGTTCCTTTGAAGCAATGCTTTGAAATTGTGCGGTAATGTAAACTTCTTGTTGTCTTTGATTAATAGTCTTATAGTTAAAAACATTAGGACGCGGAAGAATTTATCGTAACTATTTATCTGATAAATTACCATACCAAATAACAATATTATCTAAACTCTGACGTAATGATTACGACGATTGAGAAATATATTTGCATTCGGAAATACTTTCTTATATAATTTCATCAATCGAATGTCTTCTAATCAGTTACCGAAAATTAAAAAATATTGTTTATGGTTGTTTGGGATTTCATCTTGTTATTCCCTAATGGTATTCTGAATTTCCAATTTAAAATAATTACTGACTTTCTTCGATAAATATTGTAGTGGACGTCAATAATTATGTGAACGTTCAAGAAATTACGGGATGGACGGAAGCGATTGGAATGACACGCGAGAAGTTTGTTGACTATTTGAAGTCAGCTTTCTTCGCGCTTTCCACACTAGCCTTCATTAACCCATAACTAAATAATCTGAGTATGGAAATTTATAGGTAAACCTACTTTTTGGACGACCTAATTCAAGTAACAAATTAACTTAGAGCACTTATCGACTTTTGGACCATGATCAACTATATCCTTTTTCATTTTTTTTAAAGTAATCTAATAACAACTTAGCGGCCAACCTTCAAGACTGAAGAGGCACAAGAAGAAGAAGAATAACCACTTCTATTTACTACAGTAATTTATAGCCACAATTAGTTCGATCATTCCTTAAGGATCAAAAAATTGTCTCTCATATTTTTTCATCTATTTCTTCCTTATATTGGTTATGGTTAATTCAATTAATAAGTCTCCTTTAAATTCGTATATTTCATGTTAAAATACCATACGAAAGATGCACCACGACCTTGATATATACTTAAAATCCCAAGCTTCCAACTTTCTAAAGTCTCTAATATCAAGCACCTGTCAAATTTACAATCCTCTAAAGCTTTTCATAACGTTCTAAACTTTAATTTCAAGTACAAGTTCAAGTTCTGCTTTTATAGTTTGGTATTCAATCGTTTGTTTCGCTCTATTAAGTGAATGGGCCAATTAACTAAGTAAACCGTAAGATTTTATAATCACTGCCGCATCGAAATATCTAAACGATCGGAAATTTTTGCACTTCTTTGATATTCACTCAATATCAATCATCTTCCTGCCCTTTTTCTTGTGGGGAGTTGTACCAAGGAGTTTGTGGATGGTTGGTACAGTATGTTAAACTCCACAATGGAAGATCCTACATCTAAAAGCTGTTATCTGAATTGACTCCTTTCTTACTAATTTACTTAACTTAATTACCATCACAAATTTAACTTGTCATGTTTTCAAGGTTAAACGATTCTTTTCTTCTCATATTTTAGAAAGTGAAGGTTTGCTTAACATGTCTATTGTGGGAGATGAGCCGGATCGCTTTTGAAGATAAATGCCGTAAAATGTCCGTGACTAATTCAAGGCATTTTGTGACTATTACAATAGTTGAATTTTGTGTTTTTTTCCAATTTAAATGATTTGTCAGTTTTTATTTTTTCAGTAATATATGAACTTATAATATGTGTTACATTATAAATTAATATGTAAACTTACATAATTTTTAGAGTTGTGTTATGTCATGCTCTTTGCTGTCTTATGTATGATTTTAGAAATAAGAAACATTTTAGAATCTCTAATGTAAGTAAATAAAAAAAAATAGTTGTTATAAAAACAGACGTAGTGATTTGAATTGTTGACTTTATTAGTTAGGTTAACGAACTTGTGTTTTTGCACTGCGCTGGTGAAAGTGACAAATAACTCAATAAGAACATCGATTGATAGCCACTGTGTACTAAGCGTTTTAGAATTTAATTTGAAATAAAGTGTCTTTTCATTATCATTGCTTTTAAATCTGGGAGCACGGCAGTGCCCAGCCAAGTCGAGCAAGAAATTTAAACTTAACTTTTATTTTATTGGAACAATTTTTTTTTTTGTAAATTTACTAATATTTCTTTTACCATTCCAACTAAGCTCTAGGCTTGTGGTAGGATATGGTTTACGACAATAGTCGAATGGCGGGATTCGAACCCCCGACCTCGTGATCGGAAATCCGTACCCTTAACCATTAGGCTATTGACGCTTCAAATATATTATAGGGAGTATTCGCCCGCAGTTCTAAAGTTGAAATTTATCTTCAAATAATTGTTATCGTACATCTGCTTTCACTCTAATTATACAAAATAATAAAGCGTTTATGCATAAAGAGGCATTTAATGCTCGTCTCTCAGTCTTATAATTTTATAGAAAGTTAATTCCGTAGTCTCGTAAAAAATGTGTCAACAAAAAATACAAGTCCACGTTATCATCAAAGAGAAAGTTGTTTACTTTCGTCTCGCCGTACCAAGCGCACGCCGGAGTATGCAGTCAACGAACAAGTCGAACGCGGGAAAAGCTGGCTTTACTTCAAAATCACTTCTCACATTATATGAAATCTTTCACCACTATATCCAGGGAAATAAATATACATTCACCAAGATCTGGTTGTAAGATGATCACGCTACCGGGACGTTTTAGCCAGAATTGATGCCCTTACCTTATATCTCGCACCGTCTTTGGGATTCACTAAATCACTGAACACTGATCGTTATCTTCCACGAGGTTGGAGCGTCACTGAAGTGAAAGTGCGTGTTGCTTGCTCGACTGTTCGACTTGCAATGAGTGTTGCGTCTTCGACTTCACATATATATAGGATGACCCAGTTACGTCGACCGGCTAACTGTGTATCCGCCTGTCCGTGTCTCCAACCTGTTCCCCATCCCGTTTCAATGTCTCGATCCCGGCCCGGCCCTTGGACCTTGCCAAGGACATCATTTGTTTACATGAATAAGGAAAATGCTAGAGGGCGCTCTTTCTAATGTTTTATTGTTTGCTTGTTACAGGTACGATGCTTGTGATAAGATTGATATGGTAAGTGATATTTTATATTTACAGACGATTGCCTTAATTTTATTATTAAACAGATTATTTTACTTCAAAAAAAAGTTCAAACAGGTCACCTGAGGTACGACTGCTGCCTATATGCACCTGCAATACGCTAATTACTTGACTTGCAGATGACGTTCCCTAACTCGATAACACAGAGCATAAACAGAAGTAAGCTTATTCCTTTTCCTGTCCGTTTTCCTATCAAATTTACTTTCTGGTCCCTTCGTTTTCTCATTTTAAGGTTGGGCCCGGGACGAGAACTATTATTGAGCCTCCTGCATCTTACTCATCGAAATGAAAGTATAATTTACTTAATTTTTATTCAGTTTACCATTGTTACGTCTTTTATCTCTTTCCTTTTAATTTACCACTGTCTTTTATAACTTGTTATAACCTAAGTATCTTTCTCTTTACTAATACTTAAATATCTGAGGTCAATTTATTCAAAAGGTTTCTCAAGTACGACAAGGTATGTTCTTAATTGTATAATGATGGTACTATAAGAGACATTAAAAAATTGGAGCTCTTCAAGTGCGTGATGTATCTATTGTCTGTTAAAGCAATTAATATGACATTCTCACAGATCTTTTTCTTGGAATAATTGTTATATTCCGTGGAAACTAAAGCACTAGCAGCGTTACATGCGAATCAAATAAGGCTATGATTTCACTTCGGGCAGCGGTTGATCTGAATCGATAAAAGTAACCTTCGGATTTTTACTTAGGATTTAGATATGTAGGTACAATCAGCTACATAAATATGTAAATATTTACTAAACTTCAGAAGCCTTTGGTTTCAAATATACGTATTCATGTACTATGTATTCATTGTTGGAAGAAGAAGACGGATGCGTTTGTACATATTTTTGAAACTGAAGGCGTATACAAGTTTCTGAAGCTTTGTAAATGTATTCATATTTATGCAGCTGACTGTACGTGTGTAAGATACATTTCAAAGCATTGGAGAAATGTAAAGAAGCTTGCACCCAAAATAAGTGACTTGGATCTATTACCACGCATTGACATCTTTATCGAAAACATAAATATAATGAATGAAATCTATGATAACTTAATTTATACAGAAAAATGCAATACCAAGCCGTATGCATTAGTTAAAATTAAGTCAGGAGTTTAAGAAAGTTGGTAATGCGTGTCATTTTTATTAGCAAAGGTACTATGAACGTAATTAGTGACTTCCTGTATATCCTGAATAAAATAAGTTCCAATTTATACAACAAAATTAGTTCATTCAAAACAAATTTAGATAATATTTGTCTCGTATTAGGTCATCTTGAAATTGAAGTTAAACTAAATGTTTTTGTTGTCTTTTCTTGCTTTTTAATTGTAGTCAATATCGTCAAATACAATTCATTAGGTTTAGCCCAACTTCGTCAATACTGCAAGAGGATTTAAAAGATTATCTTGAGATGGTACGAGGATACAATATGAAGAGACGTATGCGGACTGCAGGATTTCAGGTATGTGGATTGAATTTTTTAAATATAGTTTCCTCATTGAATAAAAAATAAACAAATTTATTTAACACTGCTTGTATTATTGTATTACCTACTTTCGACAAAGGTGTTAGATTTACCAGAGAAAGGCTAAAGTCTGTTCCATCAATTATTAGACACGAAAACATATTTTTGTCATTTTTGAAGAAAGTGAGAGGGATTAAAATTTGTTTTTTTAGCAAGAGTTTCGACAATGGCAGCCCACTGTTAGTTTGATTTACTACACGAATTTTTGTAAGTGAGGAGCTATGTAACAAAATTGGTTAATTATATTTTTATGGCACAGGAATAATGTCAAGTGAAATTTGTGCTCGTTTATAATAAGTTATAAAGACAACATATGAATAAATTACGTCATAACTAAAAATGTGAGTCGAATAATAAAACGCTCGAATTACTTTCGCTGGTTTGACTTTACATGTTACATGTGATTCATCTGACAAATAACTAATAAATTCCAGCTTGATACCTTCAAGCTTTTTTGAGAAAAAGGGCCTTGACGGACAGACAACAAAGTGCTCCTATAGACGTTCCGTTTTTTACCTATGATGTACGGAACCCTAAAAAATAAAATAACTCGGTTGTTTTGTTTTGATGAATATTTTGAAGTGTTTGACTGACACTATGGCTCTTATAAGGCTTCGTAAAACGAGTTCAGGAGCTTACTTGTCGTTTATATTTTTCGACTCGATATTAATTTTTTGTTTTCATATTTCATGCTCGTAATGGACTTCAATCTAAATTCGTCTTGTAGTCACATGAAAGCATATGCATCGCAAGAAACAAAAGATAACAAGCGATCGGTTTTATTTGTTAGTGTTATAATTATTCGTATTAGTACTAACTAGAAATTTATTTTCTTAGTATATGGTAGCATGAACTAAATAATAACTTTATAAGTATTTATTTAAAGTATGTATTATCGTAATAAGATTGTTAGAGGAAAATCGAGAGATCGCGTATCCGAATGTGAGTAGGCTATCAGAGAAATGATTCATGCAACACTTTCTTTTGGGTTATTCCGCGCACCATTTATAAACAATATGATATTTTATTTGATATCTTTATTAATGCTGATTTTCCGTTAAAGGAGAAACTATTTTTTTTAAATATGTAAACATTAAGATGAGTTAGACAACATTTCCTCATAGACTAATGTCCTCGTTAGGTTTACTGGAATTAAATGGATTGGATCTGATTTCTCTTCGTTCATGTTTCATAGATAAGGAAAGGAGGAAAATAAAGAAAAAGATTTGATATTAGATTTGGTCTCTGGTACTAAAGATTTACAACAACGAAAACTGAAGTTACTTACAGATAATTGTCTCTATTCTATTTTTATGACGCATACCGTAAGTTTTCGAGACTAAAATCCCCGTTTAAAACATATTATTATCCTTGTTTTGTCAAAGATAATGACAGGGATGATTATTTTATGCAGATATTTTGGTCTCAGAAACCCACGGTAAGAAGTTCTAGTCCTTCTTGGTTATGTTGTTATGTCTAACTCTATTATTGCTAAAGCTATCATGGTAAACGTATTTGCTACGAGTAATTATTATAATATTTTGATTTAAGTTAAAAGTCTTGTCTAAATATTTCGGTCATACATCTTTCGTTTCTATCATTGAAAAGTTTGTTCGAAATGATTTGACCCCCAATTGATGAGACAAGCAGTGACCACGTGTCAGACTTTTTCTATTTAGAGTTGGTACATGAATCTGATTCTGGTAATATTTGTCAATTTGCATCTCTTCGCCTGAGGGTAACTGTAAACTTGGAATGCGTGCTTCTCGCAGTTTTCACCTAAAACGACCTACATTTCAGTAAAAATGTTAAATATAATATAATTATAAACTTTCATACGCTTCTTGAAAATAAATATAACAATTTGAATGATAACTAATGTAGTTAGAATCATAATCATGGTTAGAAATATGACAAGCTAGCTGTCGCCCGCGTCTCCGTCCGCGCGGAATTAAAAAAAACTTAATAATAGCCTGTGTACTTCCAGACTATGTTCTATGTGTGTGTCAAATTTCATCAAAATCCGTCCAGCCGTTCCGGAGATAACTTCAAACAAACATCCATCCATCCATCTAAACATTCGCATTTATAATATTATATAATATTAGTAAGATTAGTAAAATAATAAGAAGTAAGGTAAATCAGTCGTGGAAAAGTTATAGTTTTTAAAATAATTTAGAAATAAGATTACATTTATCTGTGATCGATGCGGATATTTGAAAACTGTTGATACACCTATTTTATATTTAATGACATACGTGTGTTAAAAAATACTACAGCGGCGTCGCACAATTTACTAATAATATAGTAAACAAAAATAATGTAAAACGCAAGCGACGCGAGTGGGCCAGTGGGACAGCGAAATGTTGGCTTTCATTGACACCGGTCAATAGCGGCCTACCGCTTGGTCGTCGCGTGTTGACCTACAAGGACACGCATTCCGATCACCATTATAGACAAGGATGATGTACAAAACTCAAGGTCATTGCTTTAAGACCCACAGACCTTAAATTTTTTTGCCTTAAATTAACTTTTTTTATTATTATTTCTTTCATCTTGTTATATGCGTCTTCTGCGATTCATAACATGATTAGAGTTGTGTGTTGCTCATTAGCATTTAAATATTATCGTGATTTTATTATAATTATAATATTTTAATATGTAATAAATGCGAGGTCGTTGTAACGGATTGACCCACTGACTGCTAACGGCTTTCTAACTACGATTATATCGCACTATCTTGATACTTCACGAATCACAAACTTACAGGTGCGTACTAAACTAGTTTCAGACATTAAAAAACCTTTATATATTTTTCAAATTATTTTAATAACTTTTTTTTTGTTTAATAACTCTTTGGGTGTAGTTTTCTTTTATACTTTTAACTGGCTGTCGCCCCCAATGTGTTCTAGAATTTAGACTACTAGAGTACTACACGAGTAGAGTACTATATCTTTCTACTTAAGGATATTATTGTATGTTTAACTATGGGTTTCTACTGTCAAAATACATGTATCGAAACATGTATAATATATCAAGGTGACTGGAAATTTAGTTTCATAAAAAGAATAATCTTCGGTCTATATTCCTAAGAAGTTACCTTGCATGTAAATCGTAAATATTTAGTTATTTGTCTCAAAGTAGTTGATAGCAATAGAATTTATTTTATTTTGTAGTATTCTTTAATGTAAGGAAATCTTTTATAGTTTTGAATTTTTATTATCTTTACAAATTTATGAAAGCGTAGTTTTTTATTGTTTATGATAAATATTTTTCAGCGTTATCTTTCGAAAGAAGAAGAAACCCGAAGAGTTTTTACTTTCGCTGAATTTGACATGTTATTATTAATTTTCATAGTCAATAAATCTAAAAATTATTAATACGACGCTATATTTTCACTTTATAAAAAGTGAAATTATTTGATATTGCAACTAATATTTCATACATAAAAATCACAACAGGTATTTTTTTTAATTTAAACATAGGCCATAATTTAATATCATATTAGAGATCCTGTTATTTTGTTATTTGCTCCAGTAAGTATGGAGGTCTGTGTGGTGTGCGGTTTGACCGTACGAATACAGATCTATCTGCGGTCGAATACGACAGGAAACCATAAAACGATATTGTATGAAATCTATAAGTATGTATGTATATTATGGTAGATAGTTTAAAAAAATTAAATAAGCTTACCTACTTTTATCATAGAAGCTCGAAAAGTCACAAAAATAAAGCAATAATCGACTGATGGCGTTCTTTCGTTGTCGCTATTTGATTGCTCGAGTAGCGAAGATCTTACCGTGGGTTTGTAAGAACAAAATTCCCGTTTTAAAACCTATTGTTCTACCTAACCTATCTCTGTTTTATCAAATATAATGACAAGGATGACGATATGTTTTATACAGAGATCGTCTCGGAAACCAAGGGCAAGCTCGCCAATGTGACTGTAAAATAAATAAATGTCCCATGTATTTTAAAAAATAACTAAATACTCAGTTGATAGGACATGGCCTGCCTTTCGATAGTATTTCTGATATTACATAATCAAAGGTTAATATCCGCTTAATCAACTGTCTAAATATTTAATTTGCGTAATATTATGATGTAACATGTCTGCCCCATGAGACTGCGCGGCGGGAGTCGACATCATGTAGTTATTTAAAAAATATAGATATGAGAAGAGTTATTTTTACGCAACATTTATTTTTATCTTGACATCTACGTAATAGCTAAGCAACTGTCCTGATCTTTTGTAGAAAATTAGATTTAATTTTCTAATCATTTTATAAGTTTCAAATGACGGCTGCATCTTCGAATATAGGTCTTCCAGTTCAAAAATTACGCAGTAAATCAGAAGGGTATGTAAAATATTGAACTGTCAATCATCCGTAGTTTTTTTAGTGAATATGACAAGAATCTTGCCGTTAAGTTAAATCTACCCACGCTTTGGGTAGTATCATTCTCGTGTTAGTCTTACCCAATTCATTCTGCCATTCTATCTTATATTGGCCCTTAAATTAATTGATTATAACAGATTATTAAAGTGATACTAGATACAAAAAGACAAATGTGACACAGTGAGTGGTGATGCAATAATTAGGTAATAGTGGTTCAATAGTCGCTGTAGCTGTGGATGTGAGAGGCGTTACATAAAATGTAAGTATAGGTACATGAAGAAAGTTGCGCGGCCATTGGAAAGCTCAAGTGACCGCCAGCCAACCACTGATTGATTAATAGGGCTGCCACATATCTTTTATAATAGTTTAAATATCATGAAGGTCGAATATAATATTAATTCCCCTTGTACAAATATGAAATTTGGACCCAATACGATTTTCAATTACATACCACATTTGTGTACTGTATTATTTCAGATTATACTGTGATTAAAACTTAAATAAAGAATGCGTCCAAGGCCAGAAATTAAGACAAATCCAATTGTAGACAGTTTTTACTATGACAAAAACATAATGAATTATTCATTTAAATTGCAATTCTTGTGTCGTTTCTCGCACAAATCACTTCGACTATTAATTTCTTCAGATGTCGGTAGATGGCGATATAAAAATTCAGCGCCTGCACGTTCTTTTAATTTGTCGTTTGGATCATCTGCACCGAAAACAGTATTTTGCATTTTATTTATGAAAGGCGTTATTTTACAAACTAATAAACGTATACAGCTTGTTTCTTCTGTAGATTCTTGTTGTTGTATCATTTGTTCTATTAGATCGGGCAGTGATTCGTTTTTAGCCGTTGCAATGAGATCTTGCAATCTATTAGAATTTTTATTTAGAATCCACATTGTGGGATCTTCAGAACGATTTGGTCTGCCTGGTCGGCGGGTGCCAGTTAAGAAAGTTGAAATCTGAAATTGAATTGTGTCATGATTTTACTAATCTTTATAATGTCTAATTTTATTTCCAGCAAGTCTAAACATAGTACACAAATTAGAACAACATTTTAGTGCTGGCACATAGTATTCAGATGAATAATATACTCTACTGTGAGTACGAATTAATAACACTTGAAATAATTAAGATATTTGGGTATAGAGAATCTAGACTACTTACCATTTGTGCCACAAAAACTAGAGCATTGACAGCCACTGCGCTGATTTGGTTTGGTTGTAATCCTAATAAACGAATTACATGTCGCCACGGTAACATAGGATTTGAAGCTTGGCTCGGTCGATCCTCTTGTGAATTTTCTTCGCTATTAAAACTCTCTTCATTAGACGCCATGTTCTGTGGTTGTTTTCTACGTGTACTTGGAATATTCACTGTGTTAAATGCTCGAACTACGAAATCGGCAACTTTTAATGCTACTGACTCCGAACCTGTAATTTTAAAAGTATAGAAATTAATTTCTTGTAGCTAGTTTCAGGAGTTATAGTAAATAGGTTATGTATTGTGACGTATTTCCTAATATAAAAATCCGTAATATGTTGGAAACTGTTGTTTTATTATTGAAAATGTAATAGAAGCGCCTGTGGGTAATGGAATGATTTCATTTAATATTCATTGCTATTTCGTTAGCGAAGTTATAATTACTTTTGTACAAAAAATAATGGAAAAATATATTCTATTAAATTCCATTTAACCAACATTGCACCTAACATGCAGTGACCGTTAACTTTCTACATGTGTATCAAATTTAATATATGCCAAAATTTTTACTTACCGAGAAAGTCATGTGCAAATTTCATTCCTGTGCTCAATTTGTCAAGAAAACCTTCCCTTCTATAGTTTTCATCGGCAAAAGTTAACGGAAATAAAATAATGAAAAGAAATAGAGAACCTGACGCCATCTTGAGGAGAAGGGCGAGAACACAATGAGCTTGGAGATGTTCAACGCACGGTTCGTTTCTCGACGTAATGGCTGCGCCTGCGCAAACGCAACTGTCGCAGTAGACCATTAAATTCATAACTAATTATGGTCTTCGTATATTAATACATGATGTTTTTTATGTGTTTTTTTTTATTATTGTAGCAAACGTTTTTTTCAAACCTAAATAAATTATACCTTTGATCTGTTAGTTCGTCATCACTAGATGGCGTTGTCTTACCAAAAACTACACTGCATTTGTCTTCATAACAATGAGAACAATTTCTATTCCTCCCTTCATTCCATTTCCCGATATGGATCATGTCCGCTTTTCCTTTTATTTGTTCAAGATAAGATTTTTTTTATTTAATATTATTATTATAGTTACTTGAAATGAATTTCTTTTCTATTGATTTCTAGATTTAATTTTAATCAGTTGTTTACAAAAGTAAAGTTGTATTTTTTACATTTTGAATCATACCGTATACAAACAAGTAAAGTGACGAACAGAAAGTAGTCGTACAGCGAGCAGATCTATTGTTTTAAATTTCTAGTCACGAAATCATAAATTTGCAAAAGTAATGTAAAGTTTTGGAACGTCAAAACCAGTTATTATTAACTAATTTACATTTATATAAATGAAAATCAATGTTTGCTTGTTCCCCTATGCGTTTCTAAACGATTGGACTGATTAAGATTATACATTGTAAAATTTAAAAAAAAAACACCAGAGAACTGTAATTTTTTTCCTCATCACATAGATACCTGTTAAGCAGTTATATCTCCTATATTTTGTGTCAATCTGCCTGTTTCCAACCGTTAGACAACTATTTCGCTTCGTAGACCATGAAGATCTGTCATAGTACGCCAGTTCCAATTCAAATCTGTGTGCAACATGACTGTTTTAGTTCCTACATCATTTTTATATTTTATTCTATTATTTCACTTTACATTTGGTGAAATGACAACCGAAGAAATTCAAGTACTCAATGAACTACCAATAGACAAGCTTTTAAGAATAAAAAATTCATTACAAGAAGTTTCAACAACGGATAACATGACTGTAACAGAACCAACGTTGGTAGAAACATTCGGAGCTCAAGCAATGGCTATACGATCACCTATCAAACGTACAGATTACGAAGATGGATATAAAAAAGAAGTTAGTAAAATAAGTAATATATTTTCAATGTCAGTAACAACTTTAGCGTTTCTCGCGTTTGGTGGTTACTTGCTTTGTTTGATAGTTCAAGCGATCAAGTCTAAGCATAGTACCGCAAATGTACCACAATCAACGTTTGTATTGAATGCAGGGATAAAACGACCACAAACATTTGCGTCTTACGGCCGAAGGAAAAGAGAAGCTGTAACAAATGAAATTGATTTACCACCAGAACAATTGTTCTCAGCTTTGATACAACTCTGTGAGGGATACGCTAAATGGAACGGCGTCGGTTAAGAATTTTTCAAATGTTAGGGAACGTACCCATACTACGTGACCCGTTTAGGGGGGGGAAGCGGAGTCTTTAAAATACTAAGGTCAGTCACAGGAGCGGGGAGGGGCTTAGATTTTAGTCACGTAGTCGTTACTTGTTTTTTTTCATAATACATAATTCACTAGTAATTTAAGAGTGCAAGCAGTGTTTTGCTATAAAGAAGAGTATGAGCCGAATTATTTCTTTTTCATTTTCTACCTGTGAAAAATCATAATTATGAATTACTACGTAAAAACTAAAGGGGTTGACTTGGCATGTACTACGAGTGGCCACCGAGGGGAGGGAGGGGTCGAGAAAACTGAAAAAAATAGGTCACGTAGTATGGGTATGTTCCCTTATTTGTTTGCGAATAATATATTATTTTATTAATCGTTTAATAAAATATTTACATTAAATGTAGCGGTTATTTTCTGAATTTCTGCAGTGTAAAATTATGGTTAGTATAATCAATTTTGTTAGAAACAGCACATCTAAGCAAAATAGCTATTATTTTTTAAAAAATGTTTTCCACAAAACAGTGTTTATATTAAAAACAGGAAACCAGATTGCCCCTCAATATACCTACAATCTGTAAACGTTTTCAAACTGTCAAATAATCACGATAGCACCTAATAATAGCTGTATCTTCGTCTTAAAGATACTATTGTGAATCCCGTTCAAAATTCGCTTTGATATATTGCGTTAGTATTATAACTGTTATTGTGTATGGGTTAAAGTGTAAAATTGCTTGTTGTATGTAAGTTTTTTTATGATATTTTGGTATGTTGTAAGTATTCAGTGTTGTTTATAAGAGTCGGTAATGAGGGGTGCTGTTTAAGATCTGTCATCGGCAGTGCTCCACTGTTTACCGGCCGATACCAACATAATTCGTTAACTTCAACATATTTGTTATAAAAATAACTTACTTTGTTTAAAATCTTACATCTATTAGGTATAAAGGTTTAGTTTATTAATATATTGTTAGTTAGGTAACTTTTAAATTTAATACATTTTTTTTGTATACATATAATAGTTGTATGACTTCATATTTTTTTAAGAATAGTATACGTCAAGTACTAATCTAATAAGACTATGAACACCAACTGCCGAAGAAGAGAAAAAATGGAAAGAGAACTCAAAAGAAGACGTAAAAACACCAAGTGAGTGACAAGGTGGTTAAAAATTACAGGAGTAGTTTCATATTTAAAGTATTAATAGACAAACTATCTGTGACTTTTTAATCCGCGTTTAACTAAAGCTTAGTTTAACAAACAGTAGGACCCGGCTGCGTCGCCGGTGGCTGTAAGATAAGGGCCTGTACACACTACACATGTCGGTGACGATGACGGCTCGCAGCGATTGCTTTATTACGCTGGGAACTGCACAACTTTTTAGCATTATTTATATTCAATTTTTAACTTTTTTTGTAATAAATATTGTGCTTTGAAATAACTTATTGACCCGATACTGCAAAATAACAGATCTAAGTCCGTTTTTCCGTACCTTTGCAATTACAATTGAAGTGTTTTATTGCAATCAATAAATACCAGTATCAGGCAGTAAGATAAGACTGAGTGGGGGCGTTTGGGTCAAAGGTTTACGATTGACGACTCTCTAAACTAAATTGAATTTGAATCGAAATCGCCTCGTAAAAGAACTCATCGCGATTCCTTACAGTCGAACGATGCAAGCTGTCGCATGTAGGGTGACCACAAGTTTAAATATATAGAACTAACTTCCTTACGATACGGTTTAAGTTCGTCAGAATTGGTAACGAATTGTTCTTGCTTTTTGTTTTGACTGTACCTTATTTGCCTTGATGGCCATCAAGTAATTACTTTTTTTTTGTATTTTGAAAATGTATTTTCCAAAAATAAAAGTTGTCCTTGAACTATGTTTATTGTGTAGTATTTTTTAATCACAAATACATGTTATGAATTCCTCTAAAATATTTCCCATATTGGTTACATTATCATGGTCACCTTGTGTGAAGAAAACTATACTTAATACTTAAAATACCACTAAAGCGATAGGATTTAACAATATAAATGTAGTACATAGACAAATCCTGAGACTTTTCATATGCAATTTTCCTTATCTGTTTTAATTTGGAAAAAATTCAGTGAGATTAGATCAAAATTTTCGACGTAAAAAATAATGTTAGGTAGTTCGTGTATTGATTTATTTTGTCGGTAAATGTTAGCCTTATGAATACCGAAGTGACATATTTACAACAAAGTCCTACAAGTCATGAATTAGCTATAGATATTCTAATGGGCTTTATGTAAGATATGCTCACATGGCGGAGTAAACCGGGGGCGAAACCAGACCTAATACATTATATTCAGAGTTAGCATACCGCTGTTTGTGAACGATGTGCGACGATGTATGCTAATATATTTGCTAATAAGCTACTGTTGGAGTAATGGTGGACAAGCCTAACGACGTATATAAACTGATGTCAAGGTAAATCTTTATATATATAATTCTTCTGTGAGTGTGTATGTCACTGAACTTCTCTCAAACGACTGGACCGATTTTGATGAATTGGGTGTGTTCAAGGGGATCTGGGAATGGTTTAGATTAACAATTTACATCAAATATTAACTTCATATTAATTTATTCAAATTAAAGACGTGTAGACAGGACAACGTCTGTCGGGTCCGCTAGTTAATTATTATATATAATTCTAGTATCAGAAATTATTTGTTGTTTATTACGCTTCGTATCATCTGATAAAAAGGTGTAGACTATATTCAGTTATGTACTTTATTTTCAGCTTGATACGTATAATAATTTTAAGGTAAAACTTTTTATTTACACAGCCAGACTTTATTGGTAAAAGCTATTCTAACAAATATGAGCTTTCGTTTTATTCTTGATTATAAAAATAGGCTGTAATAAAAACAATAAATGTACGTTATTTAATAATCGTATATAACAGAACTATGTTTTAGATACAGAATGAAAGGTTTCTAACATCAATGTTAGAAACAGCTGCAAAGATAATAAATTTTAGATATCCAATCAAATGCGAACTAATGTTCCTGTGTTGCCTCATTCACGTACGCCAGTGTGGCCATTTAAGCATTACGTTAAGTAACCAACAATAAATATCTCAGCCAACAAAATACATCGCGCACTCTGTTGACAAATCCCGCAATAAAATATAAGCATTTACAATAAAATTAATTATTATTTACACGGTGCACCGGACCTCAATGCAAAGACAGTATAGTGTGGACATGACTTTGTAAATATTAAGCTAATTTATATTACACGAAATAAACGTCGATATTATTGTGTTCGAAACTGTTATTGTTTTTATACTTTTGGTAGGTAATTACATCTTAACGAACAATGAAAACAATAATTTAGACAAAGCAATTTCTATTTTTCATTAAAAAAGGGGAAATGAAGAGTAAAAAGTTTAGGACCTAATAACAATTTAAGGTGTGATAGTTGGTATGTCCATACTAACATAATCTGCGGTTGAACCATGTTGGGGGTCTAGGGACCCCGCGGCGGCCTGCCTTATCGCACGCTGCGCGGGACACCACGCTCCCCCTTCTTCCCCCCTTGCCCCTACCCCACCACTGCCATGTAGGGCCACCATTACCTTACTCTTTAAACGTCCCATTTCCGATACAAATGCCCCATCAAATATATTTTAATGTAATCGAACAAGTTATTGGTATCAAAACACTTGTAATTTATGTTTTGTAATTGTTTAGTACATTTTTATCTAATACAAATGTAAATTATAAGACCATTGATCTGTGAATCTTGGTGTTGTGGTTTCGAAATTTCTTTAAATTATTAATTTCATAGTTAATCTCTTTTTTGTTTATAAATGGAATCCGTAGTCCCAAATTCAAGTCCAATGAGCGTATCAGTATTGTGTAAAATCTTAAATATAATCGTACGTATAATAAAAATTATAAGTATAAAGAGGACACACCATACAAAGCAGTGTGATGTTTACGGCCGTCCTGCGGCAATCATAATTCCAGGCAGAGCCTCCGCGGCCACGCAGGCGTCTTGCTGGACTTTTATTGTGATTTAGTCGCGCAGAGCCACGCCGTGCAGCGCTAAACCAAGCCTTTGCCGCTTCCATAATTCTTTTTTGCAATTCTACACGATACCTACACCTTTACGGCTCTTATTTGACAGATAAGAGTCATAAAGCCCTTGTTATCAGCTCGATTAGTCTTACTTTTATGTTTTGTTTTTATTAAACTAAATGTGAGTGTAGCTTTAAAATAATCGATATTGTTTGTTTGGAGTAATGTTTTATTGTCTTTTGTAATGAAAGAACTCTTAATAAACACAATAAATACGTAACCGTACGGTTTGGTTCACTTAAGCGGTCAGTTGCTAGTAACTGAAAAAAAGGCTTTCTAAAGTAGTTTCCTCAGAACCTAAAGGTTGCGTGGCTAGGCGGTTAAACTCCGAAAGGTTTTGCCGACGGGTAATTCGAGCTGAAAGTAACCTACATGTTTGTTTTTACAAACATTTTCAGGCGTCATAACAAAACCGTAAGAGGTATCTTGCAGTAGTTTAAAAAAATCCGTTAAGTTATATAAAAATAAAATTCTAAATCTTGTGGGAAACATACGTATTAATTGTCTATAAAGTTTTTAACTTTAATGATTTGATATGACCAATTAAATTTAATAATTTTCTATTTAAACATGTCAAAATATAATCATAGCGCAAAACTAATGATTCTAAATCATACATAATCAATAGAATAAACTATCAAAGTCGAATATCACAATAACCTGAACGTTACGGCTAATTTCCAATTTTAATGGGCGATTAATATTAAATTTCATATAGACGATAGTTTCTGAACATGATTATGCAAATATTATTAGTTCTTAATAAACAGTTTAAGTATTTGATGGTCTCGCCACACGATCTCTGAGCGGAGCACCGCCGGCCGCGGGCTAATTATAATAAATATATGACAACACTTTAG